AAAACAACTTACATTGAAAGAAATGTTTAATAAAGTAAACAAATAAATATTAAGCTTTTTTTTTTCGTAAATTTTGATACCCTTTAGATTATAATTGTTCTTTATTTCATAAATTAAGGTTTCATATTTTTAATTTTAGAGTTTCTGCATGCCATCTTACGAGATTTAAACTGATGATCTATAATCCGGAAAAATCGATAATCCGGAATCGCCGAAGTCCCGACGAATCCGGATTAACGACTTTTGACTGTACACACAAAGACTTATTTTTGGTCAGACTCTTTAGTGGTTTTGGCATGGGTTGTTGCAACTCAACTCTTGCTGAGATCCGATGGCTAAGTGACGTCATCTTGAACTCTGAACTCTCGCTTAGAGATCACGAGAACTCGGAACTGAGAAGTCGCACGCTGCGTCGTGCGAACATTTAAACCTTTCATTATGTAAATATTCTGTAATCGTTTGCGTCTTCATTAAATATGTTTGTGTTAAGAAAGTTTATCATTTATGGATTATCCCCTTCAAGATTTTGCAGGTATTCCCAGAGAAGAATTCATCCAGTGGCCCTGGCCGAACACATTGGAACAAGGTAAGCAGTTTTGTTTTACCTTGATTAATTAGTTAGAAGTAACGATAACAATAAGGATATAAATAATAATATTGTGGCGCCATAACGTGGGGCCATTGGGTTGAATTTGAACTGAATTGATTAATAGATTTTGCTTAAGCAAAAACATGGATTTAGAAAAATTAAAAAAGAAACGATCTGCTATAAGAGCAGTAGTTACGAGGCTAATAAATAAGATAGAAACAGAAATTGCTAATGAGGGGGATAAAAATGTAATTGAAGAAACGGTTGCTCAGTTAATTAGTAAAGAAGAACTAATCTTAATAATGGTATTGAAACTTTAATTGTTGTAGCAAATTTAGAAGATGAAATAATGTCTAGAGAAGAGTATAAAAGTAAAATTATTATTTGAAAATTACGCGCGAAAAGATATTTAGATACTAATCCACATAGCGCTAATTCTACTTCATGTGGAAATGTCACTGAATCGCAAAACAAAATTAAACTCCCGAAATTGGCCCTGGAAACATTTTCGGAAAAGGACGTGTGCAGTTGGCCCGGGTTTTGGGCACGATTTGAGACAGCTGTACACGAAAACGAAAGTCTGCATGCAGTAGATAAATTCAACTATTTAAAGTCAATTCTTACTTCCGATGCAGAAACTGCGATACGAGGGTTGACGTTAACAGCAGAGAATTACGAAAAGGCTGTGAAAATATTAAAAGATCGCTTCGGACGCAAAGAACTAACAATAGATATCCACATGAACAATTTATTAACTCTGACTCCGGTTAAAAGGTCTTGCGATGTGACAGCACTTCGAAAATTATATGATCGTTGTGAAGTACAAATTAGAGGATTAGAATCGTGTAATATTTTACCGGATTCGTACAGTACCTTATTGTATCCGATATTAATAAAGGTGATTCCGAATGATTTAGCACTAGAATTTAATAGGAAATATGAAGATGATAATCAGACAAAAATTACGAATTTGCTCCATTTTCTAAGAAAAGAAATAGAAAGTCGAGAACGTACAGGATTTTTAATTAAGCCAACAGATTCTGAAGTCACTGAAAAGAAATCCCATTTTGAAAATAAGCGGCAGTTTGGAGAACGTTTTCGAGACAGCGAAAGAAATCGGGAATTATAATAAGGGTAGAATTCCTTCAGCGGCAGCGTTAAACACATCTCTATCTAATAGCTGTTTATTCTGTTCTGAAAATCATACGTCAGAATCATGTCAAAAAACTGTGCCAGAGAAAAAAAAAAAGGAAGCGTTAAGGCGAAGGGGAATTTTTGTTTCAGGTGCCTCAAAAGACGTACCATTTAGCGAGGATGTGCAAATCGAAACTAACTTGGGGTATTTGCGATCGGCGACATCATACATTGATACATTCTGACGAAATGAATGCGTCAGACCAAGAGTCCCGTCCAAGGGGCAGTAGTCTCTTCTGTTTCCGATTGCGCAACAGCAAATAACTCATTTCTTCTGACAGCACGAGCTGAAATTATAAACACAGGCAATTGGCGCGCCAGCAAAGCGTTTCGCTTGTTGTTTGATTTAGGATCGCAGCGAACATTTATTAGAGAGGACATCTGTAAGAAATTAAAACTTTCCCGTTATTGGAGAAGAAAAAATAAAAATATTCTCTTTCGGTTGCACGACGTCTGAAGCGCAGAATGTTAAAAAAAAACCAGGCTCATTTTGCGTAATTCGAAGAATCGATATGAAATCAAAATAGAAGCTTTAATTATTCCTGTCATTAATGGATCACATATTCATTCCCCTAGAAATGAAGTAGTCAATGTTATTAAAAACAGGGCATACAACTTTCCGATGAATGGGGACCAGGGAATAAACCGCCGAAAATTTCTTTGTTGATAGGAGTGGATTTTTATTGGAAAATAGTTACGGGTAAGGTTCACAGACTGTCTAATTCCTTAGTAGCGGTTGAAACAAATTGGGTTGGACCATTAGTGGAACAGAAAGGGCTTACGGAATTTCCCCAAGTAATGTGAATACTATGAAGGTTGTGGTTCATAATAATAAAGATACACAGAACGAATCACTTTCTAGTTTGCTGAAGAATCTCTGGGAGCTCGAATCTATGGGGATAAATTATGATTCGGATAAGGAACTCGAATTAGAAGATAATTTAGTTTTCGATAATTTCAAAAGATCTGTGAAATTTGAAAACAATCGTTATATTGTTCGCCTTCCCTGGAATCATAATTCAAATGAGCTAGGAGATAATCTGGAGATTGCTAAAATTAGATTTAAGAGTTTAAGTCGTAGATTTCAGAATAATCAACAGTTCTATGACAGATATCGCGAAGTAATTGATAGGTACTTAAAAGAAGGAATCGCCGAAGAGACTAACATTGAAATTGGACCAAAAACGTATTTTATTTTATGCCGCATCAAGCCGCCGTTATAAGAGAAAACAAGGAAACTACAAAACTCCGTGTGGTTTTTGACGCTTCGTCACATGCGGAGAATTGTTTGTCATTAAATGACTGTTTACATTCAGGTCCTAAGATGTGTCCAGACATACTGGAATTGCTCCTTAAGTTCCGTCAAAATCGAATTGCGTTTACAGCTGACATCGAACAAGCATTTTTGCAGATTTCTCTTGCTGATGAAGACAGAAACGCAGTCAAGTTTCTATGGAACGATGGTGAATTAAATGGAACCAAAATAAAGGCTCTTCGTATGACAAGGGTAATTTTTGGAGCAACATCTAGTCCGTTTCTTCTCAGAGCAACTCTTAATGTACATGCTGACAAATACAAGTTACAGTATCCGAACGTATTTTCCATGCTAACTGAAAATATGTATGTTGACGATTTAATCGCTGGAGCAGATGAAGAATCAGAAGCATTCGAGGAATCGGAACATATTAAACGCATACTGAAAGAAGGTGGATTTAACATGCGGAAGTGGAAAACGAATGAAACGAATTTACAAAGGGTATGGAATGAAGAAGATTTTTCACACGATTCGACTTGTTCTAAAGTATTGGGATACATATGGAATAGGTCAAATGATACATTTTTGATAGAAATTGAAGAGTTGGTAAAAGATGCCAAAAGGATAGATAACATACCAACTAAAAAAGGAAATCTTGAGATTTGTAGGACGTTTCTTTGATCCACTGGGGTTTTTAAATCCATACACCATTCGAGCTAGGATTTTATTACAAGATTTATGGGAACAAAAGATAGCATGAAATACCAGAAAATCTCAGAAAGAATTGGCAAAGCTGGTGTGATGAATTAGCTCATATTTCTAGTTTGGAAATACCAAGACATCAGTTTGCAGGTGCTGGGAAAATGGATATAAAGGATAGTTTACAGTTACACTGTTTCACAGATGCGAGTCAGAAGGCCTATGGGGCTGTTCTGTATTTTCGTTATTCGAAAAATGGAGTCATTCATACAAGTTTCATTACATCACGAGTAGCACCTTTGAAAAAATTATCACTTCCCAGATTGGAATTGATGGGTGCTTTGATAGGCTCGCGCTTGTCAAATTTACATTCAAAAGAAACTTCGGGACATTGATTTAATTGTATATATGTGGACCGATTCTAGTATAACGTTACATTGGATTAGAAGTGATGTGAAAAGGTGGAAGCCATTCGTTCAGAACAGAGTGAAGGAAATACAGAAGAATTCATATGTCTTGAACTGCAGATATACGCCTGGTGAACATAATCCAGCTGATTTGCTAACTAGAGGTGAAAATGTCAAACATCTGAAGCAGAATAGCATATGGTGGGAAGGGCCCACGTGGTTGAAAGAAGAAATGGAACACTGGCCAAAACCGAATTTATGTTCCACAAAGAACATTGAAGATTCCAACAACGAACTAAGAAAAACATCAAAGGAAGTTTTCGTAAATTCATGTGTTACCGAACCTTTATTTAAAACACAAAATTACAGCAATTTACACCGAATTACTGCGTGGTGCTTAAGGTTCATCAACAATGTTAAAAATACCTCGAAATTATCAGGATGTTTGCAGGTTACCGAATTGGAAATGGCAGAAACTTATTGGATCAAACGCGTTCAGGAGCGAAATTTCACAAATGAAATACGGGCATTGAAGAACAAGAATAACAGAATTAGGTTCAAAATCAAAACAGAAATCCCTCAGTCCATTTGTAGACGAAAGTGGTGTAATTCGTGTTGGTGGACGATTAGAAAATTCAAATTTGGATTACAAACAAGCACATCCAATCGTGTTGCCCGACAAAGATCATTTGACTGATCTAATTATTCTTCACAGTTTTCAGGTGGTAGGGCACGGAGGAATAGCAGATACTTTAAATCAGATAAGAGATAAATTTTGGTTGCTGAAGGCTCGTCGAAAAATTAAAAGTGTTCTGTACAATTGCAATGTCTGCAAATATTTCGAACTAAACCTGTCATGCAAGATATGACACCTCTCCCACCAGACAGATGCCGAGAAGCCTTTCCTTTTGAGAAATCCGGAATAGATTACGCGGGTCCACTGTACGTCAAAAATGGAAGAGAATTATCTAAGACATACGTTTTACTGTTTACCTGTGCTGTAACTAGAGCCGTGCATTTAGAACTTACGGCTGACCTTTCCACAGAAAAATTTTTGCTTGCATTTAGACGGTTCATAGCGAGAAGAGGTTTGTGCCGAATAGTGTATACCGATAACGCCAAAACCTTTAAAAGAGCGAAAAAAGAATTAGAGCTATTGAACGAGGTGATGAAAAGCAATAAAGTTCAAGACGAGTTCTCTAAGCAAGGAATCAAATGGAAATTTATAGTTGAGAGGGCGGCATGGTGGGGAGGCTTTTGGGAGCGTATGGTTCAGTCTCTTAAAGCTCTTCTGAAGAGAATCTTAGGAAAATCATCCTTGACATTCAGGGAATTAGAGACAGTCATAACAGAAGTGGAAGCTATATTGAACTCCAGACCTTTAACATTTACATACTCGGATCTAGGAGAGCCAGAATCTTTGACCCCTGGTCACTTCTTAATAGGAAGACGGTTACTGTCATTGCCGCAAGGAAGCTCTAAATTAACTTCAACAAAGGAGAGTCTTACACGTCGATTTAGACATCAACAGATACTGGTAGAAAGAATCTGGCGAAAATGGAGGCAGGATTATTTGATGAATTTAAAATCTGCTCATCATTCCAAACTGGTGAAAACAGGAACCTGTTTGAAGAAAGGAACTATTGTATTAGTGCATGAAGATAAAATTCCACGGCTGATGTGGAAGATGGGCATCATAATGGAAGTCTTTCCTGGAAGAGATGGCAAGGTGAGAGCCTGTGCTGTCCGCTTGCCCAATGGACATACGATTAAAAGACCAGTGCAATTACTATATCCGGTGGAGCTGGAATGTAATAAGGACAATTACAGCAATTGTCCTTCCGGGCGGGAGGATGTTGCAACTCAACTCTTGCTGAGATCCAATGGCTGAGTGACGTCATCTCGAACTCTGAACTCTCGCTTAGAGATCACGAGAACTCGGAACTGAGAAGTCGCACGCTGCGTCGTGCGAACATTTAAACCTTTCATTATGTAAATATTCTGTAACCGTTTGCGTCTTCATTAAATATGTTTGTGTAAAGAAAGTTTATCATTTATGGATTATCCCCTTCAAGATTTTGCAGGTATTCCCAGAGAAGAATTCATCCACTGGCCCAGACCGAACCCACTGGAACAAGGTAAGCAGTTTTGTTTTACCTTTATTAATTAGTTAGAAGTAATGATAACAATATGGATATAAATAATAATATGGCTAAAGAAGCAAAATTATTGGTCTGTTTTTGTAGAAAACCGAGTTAAAGAGATTCAAGATTACAGCAAAGAAGGATGTTGGAAGCATATACCAGGGATCTTAAAACCTGGTGATTTATTATCAAGAGGATGCTATCCATTGCAACTCCTAAAATCCCAATGGTAGACAGGACCCGAATTTCTGAAGTAACCTCCAGAAACTTGGCTTTAAATGATCCTTACTGATATGAAAGAAATCGTTAAAGAACGACGTCAAACTGTCATTTCAGCGAAGAATTCAATGGTTGAAACTATTCTAGCTAAACTTGCCTCCAGATTTCAAAATATTCTATGATTGTACGAACTATCGCTTGGATGTTAAGATTCCGATTCGCTTATATGAAAAATAAAAATCGCCTGGCTAATATATCCGCTGAAGAATTCAAGAAAGCCGAAAAAAACCTTATTTTTTCTTATACAAAAGGATGCTTTTGAAGAAGAACGAAAAAAGTCTGATCTGAAAAATCTTCAGATTTTCGTTGATGAAAATGGAATTTTAAGAATGAAATCTCAAGTTTTAGATTCTTCAGATTTGCTGGAATATACATTCCCTATATTGCTACCTTTCAAAAATATAATTGTAGAAAGATTGATCGAGCAATTACACTTAGAATAGATTAAATTGGCCACCTTAAGGCCAGTTTACACCTGTCCGTGCAACTCGCAGAGAGCTCCTCGCTACGAGTTCTTTGACAATGTAAACGCTCACTTCGTCCGAATGGAAACATAGGGAACATGAGTTAACGAATCTATTTCTACTTTGAACTAGTTGGAAATCTATCCTGGCAGTAACTCCAAAGAGTTTTCGCAGAGACGTTCCTGACCAATGCTCAGATGGCGTATTAACCTAACTATGGCATTTTTTAAAGCAAATGCATCTTGTATATGGTAAAGTATTATGGGATATTTCACTACCTGAATATTATGATCATTTATTACTAAAACCTAAGTATAACGTGAATATAACTACTGATCAGAATGAATTTAGGTTTTGGATATTGTAGAAAAAACATAGAAGAAAATTAAGTTACGGTATCGGATTCAAAATATTTATTTTAAACATATTTATTTATGAATTTTCTTTAATCAAGAAAACAATTAAATTATATGTTATTCAACTACCCAGTAAAATACAGTTTTAAATTAAAAAATTTAATGAAAGGGCAAACATTTTATTTTGTTGATATAAATTTCGAAAAGCCAGTTCTTACTCATGGCAGGTTACACATAATAAAATATAATCTAAAATTTTGAAATTTTGTCTATAGACTTTCCTTTTTATTTGAACAACAAATTAAATTTTATTTACAAAGGATCAGTCGGAAGTGTTAAAATAAAAATTGCCGACAGAACGCATATGAGGCTGTTATTAACATGTTAAAATTTGAGGGTATTGGACAGTTCAAGCAAAAGATTAATAAATTTCGCTCAACCTCACACACAGAAAATGGCCTCAAACACTTCTGAAATAAATATGCCGATATTGGATTTTGGCACTCAAAAGGAGTCATCCATTCCCAGGAACCAAAGCGATATCTGCGTTTTAATTTTGATGGCAGATCATCTCAAAAGAATTTTTTTTTCTCTGAATAAGTGGAGTGACTATTCCCAATAAAGTTCAAAATTATCCTTCAAACATTCTGATGAAGTTTTTGTAACTTTGAATATCCTCGTCCCAAAGTTCATTTAAAACTTGATTTAGTGCTCCCAATTCATCATGGCGAGCTACCCAGTCATGCTTTGATTACCTTTTCCTCTTTCTGGCTTTGATTGGTGTAAACAATCTATCAGATTACAGGTCCGTTCATTCGGTTTGAGACGCTCGCCAAAAGTCACTCAGAGAAGTGTAAACCAGCCTTTACTCTCTCGACTTAAACCTGATTGAGCATGTGTTGTATGCCTTAGAAGGGCCAAATTTCACCCCGCCAAATTCTTGCCCAGACTTGTAAGGAGCTGAAGACTGAATTGGTTAGTCTCAAAATTTTACAATCAAAAAATCAATCAGTTTGTATTTCAAACATACAACCATCAATTCTTAGTTTCACTTGATAAACACTTATTATTAATATTTAAATCAGAGTCAGTACTAAGTCATCATAAATTTTTATCCCCCAAATTACAGCTATAATAAAAAAGTTCACTTTTATAAAAGTATTTGTAATAAAAATATCATGTGAAATAAAGCAGACTTTTTGAATTATTTAACTCCAATATTTAAAACTGCACATAAGTACTAGCAAGTCACTTATCAAAAGTTACACTATTTTATATTTAAGTTCTTCAGGTATATAAAATGAGCTTTAAATGAATGTGCATACTGGCTCTAACCATAAAAACACACAAACTGATTATTAATACATTTGCTAAAATTTGATTATTAATACATTAAAACATTTGCTAAATATAATATAGCAGCAGATAACTTCAGTTATTCCCTCAGAGGAAATATTTTAAACTTCTCATTTAAAGACATAAATAGAAAATTCTTTGAATGTTGTTTCCTGAAACTCTATTCTGTGAATTCTACTTTTTGGCCAATAAATCAAACCATAATTGGGGTCACAATACTATATTAAATTTAGTCTGTCATTTTTTTAACGTGGGGTCATGCAATAGATGCAGAATTAAATCTATCACTAACATAATTGGTTAAAGAACTAGCCAATCAACGACAAAACAAAGAAGTCATATTAGAAATGTTTAATATAAGTAATGCTTAAAAATTAATAATATAACTGAACAGCACAATTTTTAAAAAGATAATATTAATACTGAATTATTGAAAATAGAAATTTAGGATCGATTCTATAAAGTAATGAATCAGTATTGTATATAAAATAATGATCTATGTTTTAAAATTAGCATCAATTTTGCTAACACACAAGGATACAAGTGAATTACATTTGGATTCTTTGATTTTTTTTTTGAAAAAGAAATAATAATAATACATAATAATGGATAATTTTTTTTAATTTTAGAATTAACTTACAAGCTATTTACAGTGGAAATTTTTAATACATTAAAATTTGTTTATATCTTCAACTCAAACTTTTCTCAAATAATAAATTAAGAAGTCAAAACTTAATTAATGTACAGGCTACCATAGTTTAAGACAGCACACATTTGTTGTGAAATTGTTCACAAGCAGAAATAGCATAAAATAAAGAGGCAATTACCATAAACTTATATGAAAACAGGTTTAATCAAATTGTACCAATTATCTTTTAAAACCTAAAAATAGTTGTAAGACATAATGATATAAAGGTAATTTTTCCATGAATTAACAAAAGATGTTTCAGCTTTCAAAACTGAAAACTGTAGATTGGAAGCCGTAATGGATTTAGAGCTGTTTGTAATGTTTACATCGATTAATACGCAGGAGGAGAGGAAGGAAGGGGGAAAAAAAAAAAAAGTAAATCTCACTTATTATTTTACCATCACTTACATACAACAGATCATCCTATCTATAGCTTGTTGCACTTTGGCTGATGTGAAAGGCTTACAGTAGGAATAATATGGCTAGATATTAAGACTAGCATACCTTTTCTTCCCCTGTATCATACAATTATTATCAGGCAAAAAAAACTTTATATTCAACACCTTTATTACATGTATGCTTTAACACATTTAGCCAGATTTTTTTTGGGGGGGGACAATACTTTCACTCTTCACCTTTCCTTATAAAAGTAAAAATAATCTACGGATTTTTTTTTTTTTTTTTGTATGTGTGCAGCAATCGGAAAAAGTATTAATTTAAGTCTTTCGTAGAAGCAAACTTTTATAAGCCAGAGGATGTCTGCAATAAATAACTTGTATGTACTGTGTAATTTTTCTGATAATAAAAAATAATTCAAATAGTTTAAAAAAAACACCCATTTTCAGGACATATGCAGTTCATTAAATACACAAGCACAGAGAAGAGATAAAATCCTATTATATACTTGATGAAATACCAAGCTACTGAATATAAAGCACTCAAGGCTAAACATAACAATATTCTTAACACAGTCTGAACTGATTTTCCTTCTCACATTAATTAAAAGTAAGTTTCCAAGATGAGATAGCAGACTATGGGAGTAATTAATTCTATATGAAGTAAAAACACAATTATGAAAGCGTTTTGTCTTAATGTGTCACTGGCATTAACAAAGAGCAGTCAGAAATGGCAAATTTATTTGCATTTCTCCCAAAATACATTATAATGAATTTTTCTACTGTACATGAAATTAATTTAAATGCTAAGATAATCCATAGGAAATTTTTATTGATAATAAATGAGTCCATTAATTATCATAAACTGATATGTTACCTCCCATAAAAGTACTATTTAAATAAATTGGGGGGGGAGGTAAATCTGTTACCTCTAATCCAACAGAATGACAGTGCATTACAAATTAAAAATTTAATTTCAATTTTTAGTTAAATCTAACTCTTTTCTACAAAATACACAGCTCAGATGGGGTTTAAAATAAGAAATAATCTATCCTCTCATAAAAATCTTTTTTAACTACATTTCAAATTTTCATGCTACAGTTCAAAATAAATTTCCTAATGAATAATTTATCATTAAATTCAAAGTTTCACCATTAAATTCATCTACATTACATTTGCATTTTCTTATAATAAACAAAACCCTTTCATGGAAGGATGAAATAGATGATTTTTACAATTCCATTGAAAATGAAATAAAAAAATTTAAACTTTTTATATCGGAAAAAGTTATTTGAGATATAAAATCTCTGAATACCAACCTAGTTTTCTCAAACCTCATGGGCTATTTTTAAAAAAATTTACATGAATTAAAATAAATCTTATAAAGCATTAAATTAAAATATTTTTGTTTAAATTTCCAAGAAAAATTTCAATCTTCAAATAACATTCATTAATTCTATGCAAATAATAATGCATAAACAATGAAGTATATGTGATATTTATTAAATAATTAAATATGTACATATTTCTTCATTAGATATATTATGGATTCATATTTATAAACAATACTTGGGATTTTTTTATCAAACTTGAAAACATTTTTTTCATAAATGATTTTTATACAAGATTCATACATATCTTTGTAAATGATGATTAACCACTTCTAAGAATCACTAATGAGAAAAATTTAAGATTCTACAAGTCAATCAGAACTGCATAAATAAATTAAAGCAATTATTTTGCAATCGACTTCATTCTAAGAATAAAACAGAAGTGAATTTAGAATGCATTATTATTAAACATAATTTAATATTTGACATAATTGTAAAATAAATTTCAGAACAAAACCAACTTCTTAAAAATGAGAGAGTAATGAACATTAAATTATGAAACTGCCTGAAATATTCGTATTTTATATTTATAATAGTCACATATATTTTAAAGATTTACATGATTGATCATTATTAAAAAAATTATTTTCAAAAAGTATAATATATAATCTAAGAAAATTTTTACAGTTTAGAATAACAGACAATAACCCATATAATTTATTTTATTGATTTAAAGAGAAATTAGAACATTAAAGGCTGCACAACAAAGTATTCATCTTTTTAATTTGAATTTTTTCAGGTATGTATATATATATATGTAAAAATTTTGAAGCACAGTCCCGATTCCTGAATGGCACAGTGAGAGGAAGAAGTTGATACCAAACCAGATTTAGCCAATTGTCATCTTTATTTGCAAATTTCCAGGCACACTAGAATAATTTCTTGTAGACTATACACTCTTTAATCATAGCAATTACGGAAATTTCTTATATACAATTTATACAGTTAATGGGGTGACATCATTTTAGCACAGCCTAGAAGATATGGAAAGGAATGCAGCAGAAGAATAATGGCATAATTAATTGCCAGTGGTACTTATACCAAGTTTGATGTACAAGTACAAACGCTACTTGAAAAGGGACAACTAAAACTAAACTAACCAATTATACATTAGATATACTTGTACATCAAACTCGGTATATAAATGCCCACTGGCAGTCAATTACGCCATTTTCTTCTGTTGCATTCCTTTCCCTAGCTTCTGTGTTTGCTAACATTTTTTCTATGCTCTGCAAAATTGATGTCGCCCTAATAACCTGTATAAACTGTATATACGAAATTATCATAATTGCTATGATTAAAGAGTATATTGCCAACTAAAAATTAGTCCAATGTGCCTGGAAATCTGCAAATAAGATGACAACTGGCTAAATCTAGGTTTGGTATCAACTCCTTCTCGCTGTGCCATTCGGCCATCGTGACTCTGCTTCAAAATTATTACATAAGTAAAATGGTGGATATACAAAATTTTAAATTGTCTATCTTTATTAATACAAAAGTTCCTTTCCATGTGACTAGAACCATTTTTTACAACTTTTCACTGTTAAGAAAGGCATGAGAATAAAAAAAGAGAAAGGAAAGCTAAATATGTTGAGGGAGAGCGAAAATCATCATAAATTTTCTGCAAAACATGTCTATTCTGTATGACACACACTTTTCATTGTTTGACAAAATTTTTAGCCATTAATCACAGGTTTATAAATCTTGCTCTCAAAACACTTTTAGAATCTTTCAATGTACAAGATCAGAAAAATTACAGAGAAAAATTTTCTCAACAGGCAGCTTGTTGTCAGACTTGCCAACTTTTCAAGAGTAAAAACATCAGAAAGTTTTTTTTTTGGGGGGGAATCAGAAATAAAGCATTAAGTGAATTTTACAGAGAAAACTAAATATTTTAAAACAACTGCATGAGAAAAAAATACTTACAAAAAGCAAAAGTAGCAAAATAATGAAATTAATTTAAAAATAATTATAGTAGTTTTTGCTAAAACACATTCTTCAACTATGCTTTTTAACATTCTTTATCTTGTTTATTTTTCAGAATCAAAATATAACTCGCCAATATGAAAAGTAAATACACTTTTTAATATGAGAAGGGAAAATAAAGTTTTATTTTAATATAATAATGTTGATAAGTCACCCACACATAACAAACGTATTCACATTCCATAAACGGTAAAAATGTTTTTAATGTAATAAAAGGAACGAATTGAAAAAACAACCCAAATATCTCCCAAGAGTACATAAATCAATACATATTTATTTGGCAATGAACTAGTAAACTGACAATTTTTGATAAATTTACATAAATTTAAAATTCAAAAAATTAATTTTAAAGACTCGATAGTTTTCATAAAAATACGAAAATTTCAGAAAAGTTGGTAGATATGAATCATCCCTAGTTGCTTTAGAGATGGGAGAGTCAAAACTCTCCACGTAAATATGTAGCCTACCTCAGATGTAAATTATTCTAATAACAGTAAATGTTTTATCCATATCTTTCGCCCACACTCTTGAAAAGTTTCCAGATTTACTGATAACAGTGAGTGGAAGTCTGATCTTTATGAAGTTTGGTAGCTGGAATATGGCAAAACATATGAAGGCTTTTTGCCAAAGCAAAACTGGCTCATATTCATGTTACATATGGGGAAAATCATGAAAACAAACCTTGCAGCCAGCCTGCTTGCCTGGGACTGAAGTCACAGTATTCAGTGGTCTTAACCACATGGCCAATGATGAGTTGTTACAAACCAATCTATAGGATCTTTATGAAGTTTGTGCTTTTTTAGCATAATGTAACTTTAAAAGGCAATGAATTAGCAAATTGAGTTTTTGATAATTTGACATATGTTTTAAATTAATAAAAATTAATTTTATATGCAAGGTAAGGTTTTATCATAAATCATGCTTAGAAGCGTGGCCATAAGGTCAAGGTCGAAGTTTAAAAACATTTTTTTTTCAGTGCAAACAGATGTAACCTGTAACACCTGTTTTAAAAGCTGGATGATCACCAATTAGGTAGTCTGAAACTTCATTCTGGGATGTCTGACTGTTTCTTATTGTTCACAATACTAATTTCTGATGGTTCAGTGAAAAGCAGCCTGGTCTTACTTTCATAAGTCAGAAGAACAAAGTTCAGGACCTTTTGAAATACTCTCCACAATTCAAAACGTTTAAGAACCAAAAATCATTTCTAATAAATCTAAGTACTTTAAAAGACCACATGAACTTTGATATATTATCAACATAAATTTAGAAGACTCTAAATAACACTATAAAGTTTAATATTGTCATATGCAGATAATTTCCAGCCTGATAATTTAACTATGTTTAACATAAATGATGATAAAACATAAAATAAAGACTTCTTTTATCCTTTTCATACATTTTTTATGAGTGAATTTGTCAATGTATGAAATGTTTTATAGATTTTCAAGTGATGCTTGTAAAAATAATAATATACTAATTAATAGCCATAATCATAAGATATTTTTATTTAACAGCTCATTTTCAATTCAAAAAATTCTACATTATAAAACATATACATTAAACATCATAAACTCATCTAGTCATAAAATAAGTATTATGAATACCAATTCAGAAATGGGGTTTCACTCAAAATTCAAGCAGTCGCTCATACAAGACAATGTCATACACTATTAAAATTTTCATACATAGGGATACACGTAATATCACGTAATCTTTTCACATAAAGATTTACTCCAGCAATTTACAAAAAAATTGATAAAACTAGAGATAATGCAAGATTTCAATAATTCAACAAATATTCCATGATTTCTTGGAAAAAAAAAAAAAAAAAAAAAAAAAAATTAATACATTTATATGTAAAAGAGAGTTAAGCAAATTTAATTTATATGACCCTGGAAGTGTAAAAAATTTACCAATTTTGTCATAAACTGATAAGTAAAATTTTATTAAGATACTTGACTAGCAATTCTTATATTCAGACTAAAATTTTTGGAAAAGTGACACAGAACTATTCCTTGCAAAATAAGTAACAAATTTTCTGGATTATATCAATTTGGCCTTTAAATAATTAAATTTATATTTAAAACAAATGTTATATAGTATCTTGAGAGAAATCAACATTTACATTAGGCTACAAGGAAATATTTTTGATTTGAAGATAATGTACAAGAAAGTCACCACAGATAGTTCAAACTAAATGTAACACACTTAGCTTTGCTTACCTTCTTGCAGTATATAACTTTGAATAATCTTATTTTACATTCTTATTAGATGTTCTCCATGAAAAACAAAGTGATAAGAAAATGAATTGTGTTTGCAGCTGGCAGAACACTGATTTCTAAAATATACATTCCTTTTTAAACAGTATAGAGAAAGATTTGACAATTTAAAGAAACATGAACTGCACGCATAAAGCACGTGAGCATCCTTTTTCATCTCAGCCACAGCTTTAATCGCAAGGCATCTACACCATTCAGATAATATCTAAAAAGTCTCTTGTCACGAACAAACCCCAGATTTTCATAAAGTCTTAGAGCAGGTTTATTGGTTATTTCAGTTTCTAAAACAACCTAGAAATTTAAGAAATATACATTAACTTTAAAAAATAGTAATATTCTATAAAAATGATAAGAGAAATTGATAAGGGGGGATTAGAAAAGAATACATCTAGCACGACTAATTTTAAAGCTTGCAAATGCAATCCATTAAAAAGATAAAATAATAGCAAGCAATAACTATCAGTAAGATAAGCCCTGCTTAATAAAGAAAGTAGTTAAGTATAGTTAACCAAGAGCTTGAAAATTACAAGCTAAAACAACATGCAAATACTATCAGTATTATTTAATGTTATAGATATTGTATCAAACTGCCGAAATATGAATATTACACTCATGAAAGCAGTGATGAGCAATTAAAATTTTAACAAAACTTGCAACTTATTGAAAAAAGGTTAATTTGAAGTATAAACAGCATGCCAAATTAAGCAATTCCCTTGTCAGATAACGATTTTAATATGGTAACCTTACTTTTTTCATTATTTCAGAATTTTTTTTAAATATTTTTTTTTGGGGGTGGGGGTAACTGGAGTCTATGATATTGATAGATATTTCTCTCTTGATCACACACTGTCTGTTTTTATTGCTATTTGTTAATTTTAAATAATTTGAAATGCGTTAATTTAGCATTTTTCAATGATTTTCAATGGAAAAGGAAAAGCCTGTGTTTCAGTGGCACGGAAAAGGGTTTCATTATGAAGAGGGCTTAATATTATGTGCTCAATGATAATATGGTTTGGTGGAAAGAAGAGAATAATTGGTTTTATTTGAGTGTTGTAAAGGTGGAAGAAGCTTTTAACTTCTTGCGCATAACTAAATTTCTTGAAAATGGCCTTTATTTTTTTTATGCATATAATTTTTACCAAATACTTCTTTGTTATAGCAGCCCCCGAGATTGAATTGCCTATCAACTTAGAAATCTTGCAAAAATCTGGCTGCATGTACTCATACTTTGCCACATAATCATAGCACTGTGTCATATTTTTACTCTCACTGAGTAATCTTACATTTTTCATTTTTGATGAGGTTTTCAAACTAGCATTGTTTATTAAAAATATATTAACTTTTTTTATGAATATAATGCTAACAGTCTTTTATTTACCAAGTAACAAGGTGAATGTCATATAATTTTTTTCAAGAAAGGCCTTTTACCTGACAAACAAGTATGAGAAAAATGACCACAACATGAAACTTTATGTTAACGATAAAACCATTTGGAAGACCAATGTTAAAAATTACAAAAAGGGCCTCCATTTTGGAAACTGGTTCAGCTTTTCCAGATTATCGTTTTTCACTGCTATTACATTTTTGTATTCTTGGGCAGAAGAGTTGACATGCATGAAATGGTGTAATAAACAACTTAATACATATGAAAGTGCTGCAGCTGGGCAGAACAATTACATGTGATAAAATAATAAAACTGAAGATAAGGATTCTTAAAAATATTCTTAGGAAATGACATATGAGCATTATTGTTATTGTTACATATTGTAATACTAATTCAGAAGTCAAACAACAAAAATCAGCATTATATTTAGACAGGACTAGTTTCGATGGTTTTACCGAACCACTATCCTCAGCTGCAAAACCGCAAATGAACAAGATAGGAAATAATGATTAGATAAGATAAGTAAGTCTGGACAAGAATAAGCAGTGGCGCCATCTGTTGGTGAAACCAGAACTAAAACATAATTTCTTTAAGAGCCGAAGGCAAATTTGGATTAGAATTAGGATCGTTAACTAGAACAGAAAAATTTTTATGAATGTGAAATGCCTCTAGAAAATCCAGTCCTCCAATGGAAGATGTTTTTTGAATAATTCTGGCAGCAGAAAAATTGAAAGTGTGATTTTCGGACCAACAATGTTGAGCAACAGAAGACTTCTGTGCTTCCTTTTTTCTAACATATGCCTCATGTTCCTTGACGTGAAATTTTAAGGCTCTCTTCGTTTGGCCAATGTAAATTAAACCACACTGGCAAGGAATCCTGTAAATACGCCAGGAATTCATATCCGGAATGGGGTCCTTGAGTATGGAACTCGGAATTTTATTGATGGGGAGAATAAACAACCTGAAAGTTAAATTTCTGCAAAATACGTGCAACTTTATAGTTAACTTTATTTCCTTGCCAGTGCGGTTTAATTTACATTGGCCAAACTAAGAGAGCCTTAAAATTTCGCATCAAGGAACATGAGGCATATGTTACAAAAAAGGAAACACACACTTTCAATTTTTCTGCTGCCAAAATTATTCAAAAAACATCTTCCATTGGAGAACTGGATTTTCTAGAGGCATTTCACATTCATAAAAATTTTTCTGTTCTAGTTAACGATCCTAATTCCAATCCAAATTTGACTTCGGCTCTTAAAAAGAAATTATATTTTTAGTTCTGGTTTCACCAACAGATGGCACTACTTGTTTATTCTTGTCCAGACCTACTTATCTAATCATTATTTCCTATCTTGTTCATTTGCGGTTTTCCAGTTGAGGATGGTGGTTCGTTAAAACCATGGAAACTAGTCCTGTCAAAATTTTGAAATATAACGCTGATTTTTGTTGTTTGACTTCTGAATTAGTATTTATTCGGCGTGTTATTGTGTTGTTTATTTTTACATTTGTGCTTCATCAGCCTGGCAAAATTATAGCTGAAATCTTGGCACAACTCTAAAATTCCCAAATATGTTTGGGGGACCATTATAATAAAGAAGTACTGTGTAATGTACACAATACTGAATTAGTGAAATTTTTAAAAATTTTTTTAACCAAATGAAAACAGACTACTATATAACAATCACGTACTGTTATGTTATTTATAATTTTTAATATAATTTTTTTTTCATTTTAAATAGGTTTCTTCTGAGAATGTTTGACTAAGTTACAATAAATATCGATAATTTTGCGATCTTTTTGAAAAAATCTCTACCTCATCCTTTACAAGTAACTTTGACTAAAACAAAATTTCACTAAACAAATTTTAATTAAATGCTTTACTTTTTACCAAAATCCTAACACAGAAATAATTTTACTTAATAAACATTTCAAAATAATTATAACAAAAACTTTAAAGAAGAAAATGAAAAAATGACAAAACTATATAAAATAAAGAGTAAACTTAATTATGTGGTAGAACGTACGCTAGTAGATGATGCGTATTCTTCTTTCCCCTTAATTTCAGAAAGTTAAAAAAAAAAAAAAAAAAAAAAAGATTTTTCAAAAAGGTCCTTATATAAGTTTAATATTAAAACCAAAATATGTTTGTCAATATACGATTTTGGCACACAATATGTGTGCTTTCTAGGAGTCAATATCAAGATAAGAAAACTAAATTGTGACTCTAAAATTAGAGACAGATTTAACTAAGAATGACTCTGGTGAGCCCCCTATAGCCTACAACTGCGTGAAGGAAATATATTATCTTTTCAAAAAGTATTACAAATGAAAAAATATACAAACCTCATCCGCATTATCTTGCACCATAGCATGTATGGCTTTCAAAACTAAATTTGAACCTAGAAAGATTAAACAGAACAAAGTTAAATACAACAGACATACAAGTATTTTACTTATCTTTGTAAAACCATAAAAACTTTCAATATATCTAATTCCACCCTTCTACAGATTATACAGTCAAAAGTCGTTAATTCGGACACCCATAATCCGGACGTCAAAGCTACAAACTTTCGGCGCATGTGTCGCGTTGACACATGTGCATAGGCGTTAACGTGCGCGCGTAAGACCTTTACGGCTGCGAATATGCTTGTGCGCATGCTTATAAAACGTTTACACATGCACGTTTAATGTATAACGGACGGTGTAAGCTAAGCTAAAATTATCTAATTCAGTTAATGTTGCAGATTGTGTTGTTCCTAAATCTTCGAATTGGATCCGGCTTGTTATTTTTTGCAGACTGTTAGAGTAAATTTATAAAAGTAAGCTTGAACTTTCGATTATATCAAATAGAATTTCCGATATATATTATACTAATATGTAAAGGATAAAGCGAAAGTATGTTTTGAAATACGAAATCTGTTTATCAATTTCACGCTCCTGTGCGGCAGGTGGTGGTAGGGGAGAAACGGCGCGGCGCACAATGAATTGGAAGTTGATCTGTCAGCACTATCCTTATCTTCAGGGCAGATGTTTTTATTTTATTTGGCTTATAATTCCTTACTAAATGTAGTATTTCATCTTGATGTACTCCGTCTTTGATATGATTTAAAACAAGTTCCTCGTCATTATAATTCACTTCTGACAAATTAGTCGGTATTCTCGACACAGCAATTATAGGACTTGAAGAGCGGAACTTTGTAACTAAACAAGAAATTATGTCTGTTTAATAGAATTAAAGAGAAAGTATTATCGAAACGAAGCAACTTAAACAACTTACATTGAAAGAAATGTCAATAAAGTAAACAAATAAATATTAAGCTTTTTCTTTTTGTAACTTTTGATACCCTTTAGATCATAATTGTTCTTTATGTCATAAATTATGGTTTCATATTTTTAATTTTGTAATTTCTGCATGCCATCTTACCAGATTTAAACTGATGATCTATAATCCGGAATCGCCGAAGTCCCGACGAGTCCGGATTAACGACTTTTGACTGTAACAGAAAGGAATAAAGATTTCAAAAGGATAACAACAGTTAACAACAGAGTTATGTTTAGCCAAACTAATTCGTGTACAGCCATTTTTGAAAATTCATGCAAAAAAATTTCAGTAATTAAAATTAAATGCTATTAAGCAAAGGCAGTACTCATCATAATACACTCATGTATCTACATTATAAAATACATATGACAAATAAAAGCAGAAGAGGTTTTTTTTTTTTTTTTAATGTGGTACTATTTGCTTGTCCTTATTCCCACCAAAAAGTCAGAAATTGATTGCTTAATTTGGACAGAAATGTTTGTTTTGGCACCTTCACATATACTATTTTAAAAACGCATACTATGCTCCCTACCTTTTTATATTAATTTAAAAAATTTAACAATTACCTTTTCCAAGAAATCTTTTGTGCTGTTGTTTTCTTCATGCATACGAAGGTAACTCAGAAATTTGTGAGATATGTGCAGACAATAAGTGGCAGGAAAAAGTTAATGATAAGACTTGAAAATACGAACTATTTTAGCCTAGCAGACGATTTTTTATTGACCAACTGCAAGTAGTTTAGCATAGAATAAATTTTAGGCAGAAGGACAAATGGAGTTAATGCAAGAATATTATCATGCTTTTATTTTCCATTATTTTAAAGTTAGATTAAATCAAAAAGAATGCGTTCCAACGTCTACAACTAGCATTTGGAAATGAAGGTCCATCTCGTGCTACTGCATTCAGATGGTTTACAGAATTTCAGAGAGGTCACACAACTCTCTTCAGGATAAAGAACGCACAGGAAGGCATTTTACCCTTTGACGCATGCGATATTATTTTTATAATTTTTTTAACTAAAAACTCTAGAAATTGAATATTATGATCCTAGAGACAAATAACATATGAATTTAAAAAAAATCTACTCTTGCTCATTGTTCTGTGAGTGGTGGTCGCACTGTGAAACCACCGTGCGTCTAGGACTTGAAACTTACTGAGGTAAGTGTTTGGTGTCTGAAAGAGTATTGCTTGGCAGCATTGTTTTACACCAAGCAGAGTTTGGCTTTAGTGTAACCCTAAAGTTATTTCGTTTTTGCCTTATTAGTATGTAGAATTTCTGACTTGATGTAAGAGCATATGGTTGCTCGCTTTTAGATAAGTTACGTAGGTAACTATAAGCACATGCGTGTGCTAGTATTCAATAATGTTGTTTTTGTTAAAATAAATTTGTTATTGTTAATATTACAGTCCACTTACTGAAGTTAAGTTACATTAAATAAGTTTGAGCTATCTTTCGGCAAGAACAGTTTGATCTCTACGTTAAGCCGAAGAGAAGAATATGGCTACTAATATTGTTTCATTGAATCGCCAACACGGCGTAGTGAAAACGAAACTCGGAGCTTTGATAAAATTCCTTGATGAGTATAAAATGGAGGAGAAGAAACTCAACTATGATGTTATTATGAAGACTAAATTGGATTCTTTGTTTGAATTAAAATCTCGGGTTAAACAACTCATACTGGAATACACCAATTTGCCAGAGGAAATTGACTTGAAGGATAATCTAAGCATTACACAAGAATTGGAAGAAAGCATCGAAGAGTTCGACGTAAGATTTAGAATTTTTCTTTCTAATTGTGAAACAAATAATAAAGATAAATTTGAAACCAAAACTGTTTCTAAATCAAATTTTAAACTGCCTCATTTACCTCTTCCTCAATTTTATGGTAAATATGAAGATTTTAAAATTTTTAAAGTGCAATTTCTGTCTATGATTAGTAATAATAATAATTTAAATAATACTGAGAAACTGTTTTATTTGAAAGCATCACTTAAAGGGGAAGCAAAAATGTTAGAATCACGTCAATATACATTTGAGTCGGTACTTTCTGCATTTGAAAGCAGATATGAAAACAAAAGAGCAGTAGTTGATGCCTTTATTAATAATTTATTGAACTTTGAAAAAATAAATGACTCACCTTCTCAGTTGAGATCACTAGTAGATAACGTTAAAAGATGTTTGAGATCTTTAAGTGTATTAGAATTTGGTAGAAATAATTTAGCTGATGTTTTGATATTAAATATTTTATTGCATAAATCAGATAGAGAATCTAGAAAAGCATTTGAACTAAACGTAAAATTAAATGAAATTCCCAAACTTTATGAATTTTTAGAATTTCTCGAAGAAAGAATTCGCATTCTTGAAGAAATAAACAAAGTTAGTTTTCCTAAGCAGAGCTATGCTACTAAAGTATCAAATCAATTAAGTCGCTCTAGAAATTCAAAATCCTTGGTAACTAAAACAAACCCTTTTCGAAAGTGTCTTATGTGTAAAGAACGGCTGATCTGTAAAATATGGTAACTAGTAGTTTGGCGACATTTTGGAGGCGATAAAGGTTACTACCTGGGACTTTGGTAATAATGTGAGCAGTACTCAGTTCCGATTACGCATTATTTTGTGCGAGGGAAATGAGAGATCATGGGATATGTCATGTGATATTAATGGACGAATTACGGTTCTTTAATCGGAAAAGGGGGGAATTTGGAAAAATATCTGTGTCTGTATATTATTTTGTATTAAGCTTCATTGTGTGTTGTGTGAAGTAGGGTTGAATAATTTTAGGATTGTATGGTGCTGTCTAAAGTGAAAAATCATACGAATGTTTGGAAGATGAAGGTTTTAAACATCTTGCTGTGAACCACAAATATTATTTTAAAGATCCGGAAACAGGTGCACATACCAATACAATAGAGGGCACGTGGAGTGCTATAAAAAGCGCCATTCCGAGGCATTGTGCTTAAGAGAATTTTGCTTTTTATTTAGCGGAGGAAGTGTGGAGGAAAAATTCGCAGAAAAAATCGTTCAATAATTTTATTGAATCCATAATAAAAGTGTATCCACCATGTAAGCAAGATTCTGAAGAAGATTAGGTAAGTTAGTATTTTTTAATTATTTGAGGATATTATTTTTATGCATTGTTCTAAATGTAAGGTGGAAGTAAAGTAATTTGGTATTATTGGGAAAATTGTTATTAGCAATGATTTAGTTTAAAGTAATTAGGATTGTAAGCTAATTTTTATTAATTTAATGTATGTGCTTATTTATATTTTAAGTAGTGTTTTTGAATTTAATTATATTTTAATTAAATGATAGTGATTTTGTGAATTTTATGTTTGTAGGAATTTGGTATACATTAAAGTGGAAGTAAATGTGCATGGAAATAATTTAAATATTTGACACTAAGTATTTGTAATGCTTGCGGTATGAATTCGTTGGTAACGTTTATAATATAATAGATGATTTAGAGGTAAAAGTTTTTGGATATTTTATTTATTTTATATGTGGAAATGTTCACATTTCGAAAGGGTATGTACTTTCTCGCGATCAGGTAATTTCATATATGTTCTTTTTACTGGGTTTAAAGATTCCAGTGTACATGGATATAGTGAAGAGTGTGCGCAATGCCATTTTTGTGTAATTCTGGGATGTTTTTTTAAGTAAAAATAAGTCGACATGTACATGGTTTATGTGTATGTGTTATTTTGAAAAATGCGTAAGGAGTATGGTATTGTGCACTTTTTCCCAATTTTGCAGTGAATATTTGTCATGATTAAGCAGTTTTGTTAGATAAAATTTCTAGCATAAGTGTAATTCGGCTAGTAGATTGTTGGAAGAAGTGTTCAGTAGATAAAAAGAAAAGAAACATGTTTCTACTTCGTGAAGACAAAATGGCGGTGGGGAAAAAAAAAAATAGAGGGTTGCTGTAGGAGAGTTGGTTGCCAAATTTTCGCCAAAAAATCGCCAAGTTACCATAATCTAAAGATCAACCGCACATACATTAAATTAATAAAAATTACCTTACAATTACTTTAAATCATTGCTAATAACAATTTTCCCAATAATACCAAATTCCTTTACTTCCACCTTACATTTAGAACAATGCATAAAAATACTAACTTACCTAATCTTCTTCAGAATCTTGATTACGTGTCCGATAAACTTTTCTTCTTTCTGTTTCAGGATCTTATATTTCATACTTATATTTCAAAATCATACTTATATTTCACAGCAAGGTACCAGGTAAAATAAATAACTTAATAAAACATCTTTAGGTACTATTCCGTTTTGAGGACCGTAAAAAATCGCCAAATTATTGTTGATGCCAGTGCTGCCACAAATAATTGCGGCAAGCCTAACGTAAGAAAGGAAATATAATAGTAAATAACAAAGATTATTGTTTTAATTTAGATGAAAGGTTAATTTCATATAATATTTTTTTATTATTATAATTTATATAAAAAAGGCTAAACATAATTGAATGGAAGCATAAGAGTAGATAACTATTTCAGATTATTATAATTTATATAAAAAAAGACTAAACACAACTGAATGGATTCCTGCATTGCTATTTCGCTACCGAGTTATCGCTAAAGCATAATTTCATCTCGTTGGTTGTTTTAAACATAATTTTCTAGAATGAATGATGCCTTTTCTTTGAAAAAATTCTATTTCAGACTTTTCGTCTTGGGCAATTGCCAAATTGTTAAATCCGTAGGATATATAAAAAAAGGATTTAATAATTAAACTAGTATTTCAATGACGTCTTAAGATATATAGAACTATGTAAACATACGCAATTTGAAATCAGCGCGTACGCTAGATTTGGCTTGCTGTTAAATGTGCACGTTTGCTAGATTTGGCACTTTAGCGCATGCATTTTTGCTGCAATTTTTTTACGGTCCTCAAAACGGAATAGTACCCATCTTTATTTCTATCTCGCACAACCTTAAAGAAACATTTATTACTACCCTTTTCAATACCACTAAATACCCATTTCGAATTCACTTTAGTTACGGCCATGGGATCCAAAAATTCACGAACACTGTTTCACACAACACAGAATAAAGCCAAATACAAAATTTCCAGATTTTTACCTGATTTCCCCCCTTTTCCGATTAAAGAACCGTAATTCGTCCATTAATATCACATGACATATCCATGATCTCTCATTTCCCTCACACAAAATAATGCGTAATCGGAACTGAGTACTGCTCACATTATTACCAAAGTCCCAGGTAGTAACCTTTATCGCCTCCAAAATGTCGCCAAACTACCAGTTACCATATTGTAAAGATCAACCGTATGTGCTCATTTATATTTTAAGTAGTGTTTTTGAATTTAATTATATTTTAATTAAATGATAGTTATTTTGGGAATTTTATGTTTGTAGGAATTTGGTATACGTTTTAGTTGAAGTAAACGTGCATGGAAATAATTTAAATATCTGACACGTTGGTGACGTTTATAATATAATAGATGATTTAGAGGTAAAAGTTTTTGGATATTTTATTTATTTTATATGTGGAAATGTTCATATTTGGAAAGGGTAAATACTTTTTTGCGATCAGCTAATTTAATATATGTTTTTTTTACCGGGTTTAAAGATTGAGAAAATTGTCATGTATTTTCGTGAAATTTTTCTAATTTATGAGAAAAAAGCAGTGTACATGGATATAGTGAAGAGTATGCGCAATGCCATTTTTGTGCAATTCTGTGCTGTTTTTTTTAAGTAAAAATAAGTCGTCGTGTACATGGTTTATGTGTATGTGTTATTTTGGAAAACGCGTAAGGAGTATGGTATTGTGCACTTTTTCCCAATTTTGCAGTGAATATTTGTCATGATTAAGCAGTTTTGTAGATAAAATTTCTAGCATAAGTGTAATTCGGCTAGTAGATTGTTGGAAGAAGTGTTCAGTAGATAAAAAGAAAAGAAACATGTCTTTACTTCGTGAAGACAAAAATAGAGGGTTGCTGTAGGAGAGTTGGTCGCCAAATTTTCGCCAAAAAAACGCCAAGTTACCATAATGTAAAGATCAACTCGACTATTGAACAAAAGTTTGATAAATGAAGTTGGAAAACAAAAATATTTAAGAAAAATAAAAGGCAATTAATAACAATATGAAATTAAAGATGTTTCCTTATACTCAATTAATAATTAAAAGCTTTAACTTTCAGAAATTATCTTCTAGAATAATATAAATAGTTGGTCTTAAAAGAATTTTTGACAAGATTTTACTTTGGATACATCACAAAATGATTTTTATGCACTACTACAACTATTTCAATTATCAGAGTTTCACTGTATTAAAAGTGTGTAAGAACTTACCAATTTTTCTTTTCCTATAATTTTCATCAACTGCTAGCATTGCTATATAACCTCGGCGACTATGCTTCTTATGCACATCCAGCTTACACACAATGGCACCAACACAACGTTCTCCATGTTGAGCCTAAATGAAAGGCTTTTACTTCACCATAAAATTTAGAAAACAGAATGGTATATTACTAAATATTTTAATGGTGTAATAGGCACAATAAGTGCATTTGAGTGTAATCTGAAGTGCTTTCACAAAAACAATGACTTATTTAATTTTTTAAAAAATCATTTATCTCTGTGCATTGGGTAATATATATATATATAAAGCAAATTTTCATACATACATTTTTAACATTTGTGAGTGTTACATTGAAAAGGTTATAATAATTAAGTATCAAATGTAATTTCAGCTTTCCAGGTAAATATCACACAACAAAGGAAGTTGAATGAAGACCCCAAATTTTAATTTTGATAGGTACATATTGTCATAACAGAAAATAACTAAGATTTAATTACATGGAGATATCTTTCAAACGAGTTTTAGGGAAAATAAATAGCTTGTAGTTTTAGGACACTTCTAGAAATGATCAATGAGGAATTAATTACACTTTGCTAACATCTAATTTAAAAAAATTCCAAAAGCAAATTGATAATTTATAATTTGGCAAATTTAGCACACGAAACATTAAAAATTTATTAAAATGTGTTCCCTCATATACAATACAGATTTATATATTGCTTGGCATTATAAAATAACACTGCAATTAAAATGAAATACTCATGTCATTTTATAAATTTCGCCAAAAAATATTAAACTTTATTTTACCTCAGCCTTTATAATTCTTGGAATAGTCTTACTTCTTTTTTTATAGTTTAATTTCTACACATGATAAATATTTTACGGAAAATACTTACCAAGAAACATAGTTTGGGCCAGTTGTGAATAAAATATCTATATGTGTAAATTGAATATGGTTCAGATAAATCTTTTTGTATTAACCTCATTATATCTGGCATTTGACTTTCAGATTCATAACCTAAATATGTTATGCTCACATCATTTTCTACATCTGATCCTGATGATACACTTGATATTTCCTGTACATTTTTATCACTTAAAACTTCACTATTATCATTGAGTGTATCATTACAGTATTTTTTTTCTGTAGATGACACGTTACTAGATAAGGTATTTTGGGAGGAATCACCGGATTTCTTTAAATTGTCTTGGATTGATTCGCTTTCGGTCCTTTGAATGTCTGTTCTATTATCTGTAGTGCTTTCTATACACGTCCTATTATTCATTTGATCTATATGGGCATTTATTCTTTCGAAATTGCTGCACATCCTCATACCATTCACAGAAAAATCAACACATTTCATCTCATCATGTAATAATTTGCTACACCCATTTAGTAATCCACAACTGCCACTGCGATCTCGAGAAACGCGAAGTTTTTCACGTACTTCATCTGAAATATCGGAGGATGTAATAGCACAGTTTTCTTCACAATTTTCATTAAAATGGGTAACAGAAGTTTCATTTTCTCCAGATGTGGGGATGTAAATATTCACACATTCACCATTCATTTCTGAACCTCCAACGTTTGAATCATTAAGCCTAACAGCTACGTTCCTTATGCTGATATCCACAGACGAATGTTCTTCCATATTTTAAAAAGCTAAGTATTAAAAATTAAACAAACACCACCTAAGAGACATTACATTTAAATATTCGATTAAAACTTTATTAGCACAGAAACTTGTACAAGACACAATACTTCGCATTTAGTTTACTTTCTCTTTTCGTACAACAAGGACGACTAGCGATTATTAAACGATATAGTACTTCAATCCATTTAATTTATATAAACTTTTGCTTTTGCAACAATCAGATGAATCAAATAATATTATATATTATCCAAATGATATGTGTTTATAAATAAGACTAAAAAATGATACAAATTTAAAAGTTTCTAGCAAAATTTATAAACGATTTTACTTCATTTTATTATATCCCCATCAAAAATTATATTCTTTTTATCTTATTTGAAATAAAATTTAAACTTCACTTATAATTCAGTTAATTTCTATTCATAATTAACAGTAGTCAACCTTTTTTTAGATTTGTTATTAACTGCAAACTGTACATTTTGACGTAATAAAATCTTGAGTGGTAGGCAGAAAGACTTTGCGGGTGCAAAGACATCTGTCTGCATTGTCTGTCTGTCGGTAACTTAACTCAAGGTTTTTCCTAGTTCTAGTTTCTGGTGTAAATAAGTTGTCAGCACCGAAATATGTTTCTTTCTTTTTTAAACTTCAAAATAATATAATATGCTAATTAATAGAATCATTCATGAATAAAATGTATCATTTGATTTCTACATGATGACCATGTTGAAATATTTTTTAAGTTGTCTTTTTCTTAGTTTCTTCTGTAATTGTGATTGTCTTCACCTTTCTGGCAATTGGAATACCGGCCAGTTTTTTAAATTTCTAGCAAAATTTGGATTTCAGAAGACTGATAATCATGATCACATAAATACATTAGGATTTATATATGGAAACATAACATCCCAAGGTTATGACGCTAGTGTTAAACATAAAGCTACATTTGTTGTAGTTGATCGACAAAATTTTTTGAATTTTTATCGTCAGAGGGTTAAGTACGATTTTAATAGAAATGAAGTCTGTAAAGCAATGTTTGAGAAAATTGATACTGTTTCGTATGATCGAAATTGCAAACAAAATGGAACTGAAGATTTTTTAAGAAGAGTACCATGTCCCATCAATGAACTGTGTGAAGATGAAGATTCACCTGAACGGGTTGTGAATGGTTACCAGTTTACGTATGCTGTGCAAGATAATAATCAAGCCCGGTAATTTTTTTTTTGAATTTCTTTGTTATTTAATTAATTTATGCAAATGTTTGGTATTTCATTCATTGTTATACTATGAAAAAATGAAGTTTTGATGAGTTATTAAGAAACTGAAAAAGTAGAAGAAAGAAATTATATTTATTGTAACAGCATATAAATTTATGAAAAGCAGCATGCTTAAAAAGGAATATTCACCAAAATTTTAGAATTTTAATAAAAAGTGGGGCTTAATCCTAGTATACGGTGCACATGAGAGTTGGCGACAATTTTTTAAAAAATTTTTGGTGATGAAACCTCACTTCTGGTTACCATGATGATGTTTTAACTGTGTTTTAGCTTGCTGATCTTATTTAAATGAAAATAGATTGATGTGTACATGGACAAATTTAAGGCAGTGCGCTATGCTTAAATTGTGAAGTTCTAGGATGTTTTTTTAAGTGAAAACAGATTGATGTGTACATCATGGACACAGAGTTTGTGCAATTCTTTAACTTCTTATTTTGGTTTTGTGTAGCGGCCATCTTGAAATTGTGACTTCCTGGCGCCGATCTTGGCGTCAAAAAAGAATCGCCAAAAAACAAGGGGCATTCAACTGTAAGCACACAGTCTAATGCATTTCATTCTTAATTTAAAATTTAGCAACTAAAAAAAATAGTTACACCTAAAATTTTATTATGATGATTATTCTTTTTCTCCTCATTCCTCCCTTCCTTCCAGTTTTATTCATTTCAAAACAGTTTGTTAGTGGTAACAAAACTACTAGTGAAATAAACATCTTCATATTATATATGAAATAATATGCAACTCTTAAATGTGTGCAGGACATAATATGTTAAACTATTACAAATATATTGATACTTGTTAAAGCAAGCAATCACTGCTGAAGTCTTTGAAATTTGTTGGATATAAATTGGGCTCTTAAGTTTGCCATTCGTGACAACTAATTGTATATAAATTGCGCTTTTAGTTTGTCATTTTTGACAACTAATTGTGGTTGCTGTTTTACAAGGAAGTATCATATATTTTAATAATGCATTCAATTATTTAAATTTAGTTTTTAATAATTGAGTGGTACCATATGCAAAGTTTACAAGAATAATAGCCTCATTCCTCCCTTCCTTCCAGTTTTATTCATTTCAAAACAGTTTGTTAGTGGTAACAAAACTACTAGTGAAATAAACATCTTCATATTATATATGAAATTAATATGCAAACTCTTAAATGTGTGCAGGACCATAATATGTTAAACTATTACAAATATATTTGATACTTGTTAAAGCAAGCAATCACTGCTGAAGTCTTGAATTTGAAATTTGTTGGATATAAATTGGGCTCTTAAGTTTGCCATTCGTGACAACTAATTGTATATAAATTGCGCTTTTAGTTTGTCATTTTTGACAACTAATTGTGGTTGCTGTTTTACAAGGAAGTATCATATATTTTAATAATGCATTCAATTATTTAAATTTAGTTTTTAATAATTGAGTGGTACCATATGCAAAGTTTACAAGAATAATAGTTAACTAATTATTAAATTTTTTACAACATTAAATGTTTCACTGAGGAATTTTAAATTGAATTTATTTATTTCTTCCAGTTATAAAAAGTTTATGTTTGTGCACTTCTGCAGCTTTTGCACCTAACAAAATTGTTAGTAGCACTACGTGTACATGGATAAAGTTAAAAGAGTGCGCAATGCCATTTTGGCAATTTGGGGATTTTTTTAAGTGAAATAGTCGACGTTACATAGATAAAGTCAAAGGAGTGCGCAATGCCATTTTTGTGCAGTTCGGGGAATTTTTTTTAAGTGAAAATAAGTTGATATGTACATGGATACCGAGTTTGTGCAATTGTTTGTCTTGTTATTTTGGCTTTGTGTAGTGGCAATGTTTGGCGCAAAAATCGCCGCTTCACAAGCCAAAATAACGAGTCAAAGAATTGCACAAAATCTGTATCCATGTACTGCCAAAAATCGTCAAGGGGTACCCTAAATTATACTTTTACCGCAAACCCTATCTGTGATGCTCTCTCACTCATTCAATCATACTTTGTCATGATCATCACTTCTTGCATAATGAATGATTTTTATGCTACATAATGTAAGTGAAGTGTCATAAATTCACAAAAAATTAAAACTTTTTTTTTTTTCTTTTTTTTTTTTAAAGTTGTATACTATTGATTTTCCAATACCATACTCTTCACATAATTTTGAGACAAATGTGCCTTTAACCACTTTTTGTTTGATTGACAGTGAAACATGTTTTTGCTTTGCAAATCGTACTGCAGCTGCAGAATTAGAAGCTGTTTTTGACATAATCAACAATTTAAACTTTAATTTTGATAAAATAGGTGTAAAAAAATAATAGCGAGGAAAATATAATAAGGTAGGTCAAATTAAAAGGTTAAGAGTACAGTTTGCTTTGTTAACTGAACTAAAGTTTTTCAGAATCTTTTGTCTTGTCTCATTGCTATACTAACAAAAGGAGAGGAGAGGGGGCGCAATTCTCTCCTTATCAATCTTATTGGGCTTGTTCTCTTTTTTATTGGAAAATTGTTATCTAAGCATCAGCAAGCTTTAGAAAATGATACATGCATGTAATATGATATTTCAATTGTAGATTTAGATATTTAATCACTGTTGGACGACAGCTCTAGCACCCCCCACGGGGCCAGGTGTGAATTATAATTTGTTTTTCGTGGACAAATGGACGATACATGCAAAAAGCGGACTGAGATAAAAACCATGGGAGTTTGGACACAAGGACTAATTATGTTTCTCGCAGATAACAAACGAGGAAATCTTTGTGAAGAGTCTTATGTGATTTTGAAGTGACAGGACGATCTTTACGGTCTAAACCACGCCAGTGTTCTGTAGAACAATAGTTTTTTTTTTTTTATGCCTAACTATAGTAAAAAGACGCTTTTTTGCGTCAATCTGCGCTTAGTGGATATTGTGTGACTGACTAGACTGTAATGATCAGTATTTTATTTTAATCAGAAATCATTAGTTAAAAAAATAATTTAAAAGACAAACCTGTCGTCTTTTCACCCAAACGGGTGTAATGACGTTTTTAAAGCTATAATACAGGGTGGCAGGGTTTCAGAAAAATCAGCAGAAATTACAGGACGTCAGGCTCTAAAATTTCATCTCAGATTGGGGACAGTCATGTCCGGATATCAATAGTGTTTGCAGATATTACAGACGTCAGGTTGAAGTGCTGCACGAAAAGTATGAACATCAGTCGAAAAACTGATTACAGCTCTTCGAGCGACAAGATCGAAAATCCAGCAGAAATTACAGACCGTCAGGCCTAAATCCATCTCAAGATTTTGGACAGTCAGGTCCGATCATCAAACAGTGTTTTGCAGATATTACAGATACAGCTCTCCGAGTACGAGATAAGAAAATCCATGCAGAGATTCAGACAGTCGATCTGAATTCATCTCGAGTTGTAGGACACCATGTTCGAACATCATCAGGGTTTGCAGTAGTACAGCGCCAGGCTCTGAAGTGCAGCTCACATTCGAACACTGTCGAAAGTGATTTACACTCTTCGAAGTGGGGATAGAATCACGAAAAGGTTACGGACATCAGTCAGAAAAAGAGAACGACAGTCTCTGAATACTCATCTTTAAGCACGATGATAAGGTGCTACTGTGCGATCATCTTTTGTGTTCGAGAAAAGTTATCGCAGTGAGTGTGTGGGACAATCATTGTCTGAAGATCATCAGATTTTTGATGTGTAGGTATTGAAAAAAGTGATATGTGGGTGATCACCCTTGGACGAAAAATTTAGATCAACAGATCCTGTGTTGTATGCGTTATAGGTGCATGGATAATCAGTGTCATAAAATCTTATTGTGAGAAGCGAAGTGAAGCCAATCATTTCAACTCTCCCATCCGACGGGTAAGCACCTGATTTTTATATTGAGGCAGTTAGTAAGAAAAAAAAGTATT